AATGTCTGGGAACGCATTGTTTCATTTAAGAAATGGTATTAGAAAAACAGAATGTTGAATTCCGCTAAACAAAAATAGCCGCCAAGTCATTTAGAGGAGAAGTTATAATCCTCTCCCCCCCACCTCTGCTGTTATTTCAGCTTGACGCCTGCAGGCCGGCACCTACCTTGAGCCAAACGTCGAGAATGCTGTTCATCGATATGAGTTTGTCCTCCCACTTCTTCATTTCAGTCTCAAACGGTTTTATGTAGGGAGAACTTCGCATTGTCTGCGCCTTGATAATGTGGTCATCGAGGAGCACCTGAATGTCGTCCACTGCCGACAGGATACAGACGCCCTAAAGAAAATTTAAAAAAACACGACGCTGTATCCAATGAACCTCTAAGTGACATTTTATAGGGTGTGAAAAACAGACTATGAGGATATACAGAAAAAGGCAACTCATATTGTTCAGTATTTCCATCGTGATATTATATCCACCGTTTGCGTTCATATCGCATACCACAAGCCCTAATCTGGCAATTTATAGATTCCTGTATTCTCATCTCCTTCTTTACTGCTCTCCAATTATTTTTCCAGCTTTGCTTAAAAGAGACCAAGTCATTTTTAAACGTATCCTCCGAATATCCTCTTCAGCTGTCGGTGTCTCGTATGTTTTTTAGCTGACATTATAATACAGTGACACTTTAAAACGATCAAGCAATTTGCTGATCACATCCTTAGTGAGATCGCTCACCCTCTCCATTCTGAACTAATGGCTGCGAAGTCTTCCTGTACTGTGCGCCGAAACTCTCGACATATTTGCTGCAGTACATCGGAAAATCAGCACACTGTACTCCAATTCCCGGTACGCTACCTTACGTGTGAAGAAACGGAAATTTTAGAAATAGAAAGCCAACCTGTCTCCACAACAGATGTGGATATCGTGTAAACTGTTCATTTTGAATATTGTATGACCTATACTTTACCCTATCCCTTGCTCTCCGTGAATGGAGCCCTTTTTTGCTGAAAGTTTTGGATATAACCTTCAAAAGGAAGCATTTTTTTCTCTCTCTTCTTACGGAGGGATGCTGTCTACGACTACATTAACACCGTTAGCAAGACTTAAAAAACGTACGGTGTCTCTGTAGGGCAGGAGCTCAAAAGACATATTCTTCCAGTCTTCCTTCATCTTCTTCATCGTCGTTTCCAACTGGTGCTCTTTAGCAGCTGATGCTCCGATCTCTTCCAGCTTCTCCAAGTGATCCTTCAGCCCGTATTCAAGGAAGGTGACCAGTGTAGTATCAGGAGCGGGTTTTATATCAAACCCAACCACATCGCTCATACGATCCCAATGGCGAGCCTTCAGACCCGGATTGCAAACAACTTGCATGGTTGGAATGAACTCCTGGAAGCGCTCGATTTTGGTCTGCACAAGAAAGTAAAAGGACGCGCCCTCGTCATAATGAAGTCAAAAACAAATAAGATAAGTCTTGTGTTGTGTCTGAATATGACTTACTTACTTTTAGTTCCTTGGAAATTAACTTTTTCGGCAAAGATTCCTTATAAGAAACACCACAGTAACAGAAAACCTCAAGATTATGTAATACGGGACCGGTGGTAAGGGGGGTTAAATGGGTGGGTCAAATAAGGGGCCTGAATATTTGTTCCGGTTAATCCAGTTCCCAGTAAACGCGGGAAGTCGAAAAATTTTGATAGGTCTCAATATCTATGTTATAGTAGCATTCCGACAAGACATGGGACTCTAGAATGGCAATTTCTGGCTTATTAGCCATCGTCAGCTAGAGATACCCAACTCCAGTGTCGCAGCTGAAATTGCTGTCACACTCGAGTTTCGAATTCGCGTCTCTCCGGCCAGAGGCAAACGTCCTAACCATTGGGCCACGAGTCCGCTGTCTTATCGGTTTTAGTCGGGAGTATAAAGTATTAGTTAAATGTACACCGATCAGTTTTTTCAGGACTCACTTAATCTTAATTCTTTGGAAAAGGGATAAAGTGGGTGGGTCAAATCAGGGGAAAAAATAATACTAAGTAGAGCGTATAAAAATTAAAAAATAATAGGAAGGATTATTTAAATAATCTAATGTTTGGCGCGCAATAATTAAAATGAGAAATGCAATTAGAAGCCCGCCTTCCTCTCTGGACTGTTGTGGGTCAGTGATACAGTCACCCCTACTCATTTCATCATCAAAAGCAGTTGAGGAAATCAGGACCTAAGCCTATCCCAGCGTTCATTTGAACCACAGGCGGCTGCGAGTACGAACGTGGGAAACAAAAAGATCGATACCAGGGCCGTCTCTTGTTGGGCCATAGGCATACCCCCCCCTTTGATAGCCAGCGAGCGAGTGCACACGTGTGCGTGCGTGAGAGCTATACGCAAGCAGGGTGCAGACTGCACGCAAGTGTGATAGGAAGGGGGCAGGGGAGGAGAGGGTTGGCGCAGGGGAGCGAACCCCAGTAAATTATTAAGCTGGTTTGGCAGATTTGGTTAATTTAGTTGACCCAATTGTGAAAAAACTCGCGGCATTCTGTAGAGGGAGGCCTTTTACGCCAGCCAACGCTCTACCCACTTGAGCTACGAATGTCACGTTGTGTCACTAATTCTTGTTTCTTTAAGCTGGTACAAATAAAAATGGCCACGCAAGTTTGCGAAAAAAACCTTTGAACTTTGACATTGTTGAGCAGTTTGGTACGCAGGTTGGAGGCTATGGTTTATTAAAGTCGGAACGATGTCCATGCCTATATCCGCTACTGCTATCCGACTATGTTTTTGATGCCGAATCCGTGACGGATCTCGAAACATCATGCGAATAAAAGCATTGTGGCAGCAATCGAGTCGGCTTCTTCTTTTTCCGATATCTATTTATTTGTTACCGGTGTGAGATGGGCTCGAGCCTTCACAACTGCCAATATATGCTGCCACTGCACTGGCGTCGTACTAAAACACGTTTTCAGGTTTGTGCAGAATGCGAGCAGAAAGGCTGCTCCCTTCAGATCGATGGCGAGCCCAGGAGCCAGAGGTACCTACGGTGGACGTCCAACTTAACTTCTAACAAACATTGATCACTCCTTTATTGGAGTTAACACAATTGTGAAAAAACTCGCGGCATTCGGCGGGATTCGAACCCGCATAGTAGAGTGGCCTTTTAGCCAAGCCAACGCTCTACCCACTGGAGCTACGAATGTCGCGCTTCACACCGTGAGTTTAATCACACTTGGATCGATATTATCCGCCCAACTTTGCCGCTCATACGGAGTCCACCAATACGGGACAGCAAGTTGATTGTCCAAGCAGGATTTCCTAAGCAACCATCTAGAATCCACCAGAATGACTTCTAGGCTGACTTAATTATTAAGTTGGT